TCCTTTCAACTTAAATCTAGTATACCCATGTACACTTTTCAAAACTTTAATGCTCATACATTTAACAACAATCAATTGTCCTTTTGTTTTTTTTTCTTTTAACTACCTGTGCTTCTTAAATTTGTATTCACTATAATACCATTATAATTAAACAACAATGGCTCAGCTCGCAAACATTTTCTCAACAAATACTTCTCTATAACATGTAAAACTTACAACTTAGACCATGCAGTATTTATTTTCCATTCTACATATATGCTATTCATAAAGTAGTTTATTATCCATCAGTAAACCATATAAAAATCTCATAAATTGCGCCAGTATCCATATTCATAAACCAGCTCGTCCATACTGACTATCCACGTCTCTCCCTATGGAAGTTTGCATCCAGTCTTTTCCTGCTGTTTCCTTTTTTTTTTTCTTATGTCATCTGCTTATCTTTTTTTTTTGCTGTCCTAATTTTCTTTTGTCTGTCGTCTCTGCCATTTTCTTATATATATATATTCTTTGGCTATCACTGGTCTCTTGGCTTATAAATTTTTCATTTCATTATATGGCGTCATACAATCCAATCAATCACAATACTATTTAAATGTTAAATAGGCATTACTATATGTATTTATACCTGTACATATGATACAATCTTCTTTTGAATCATTGCTATTTATATATTTTTTTTTTTCTATAAATTATACTGATACTGTGCTTGTGAATCACTGTTCATCCCAACGGATACCAACATCTCACTTTCAATCTAAGTTACATTTGCAGTGATTAACTTGTGTTCACAAGATATTGAGGATTTTTCCTATTCTTCTTTTTTTTTTTTTTACTTATATATTCCTGTCATAGCTATACCGAAATCGCCATGCACTGTCCTCTACAGTACAGTAGATTTACAGAAGATAATTGGAAGTGTGGCACAGTATAGGAGTGCTATCTTCATAAAACTGACTAACTTCAGTCTCATCCTCTTTGGTAACAAAGTTATATTAAATAAAACAAACCACATGCTTATAAAGGCATAGCATAAAACACCAACAATCAGGAATTCTCATAAATATGTAACGGTTGTATAGAATGGGAACGAATTTCCATGCATGGAAAGTTATGCAGCCTATTAATAACCACATTACCAAGGTCATCAGCAAAGTTTTCTAGAATATCCATATCTCTTTACTTTCCTAACAATCTTGTCTGTCTGTGTCTCATAATTTTCCTCTATAATAATTTTAAAGCTTATGTACTTTGAATATCTTAACATTGCCTCCCACAGAGACTATTTAATAATAACTAATTAATATACAGAAACTTCATTAGTCAAATCATAAAATATTTTATAATCCTGTAGTATACAAATACATAAAAGGTAAGTTACATAAACCATTTAAAAATAGTATCCAATTTTTCCTTTCTCCTCTATTTCACCATATCACAGTTTACATGTATTCACTTAATTCTCTCCCATCTGTCCATACCTATATACAACAAAAGAGTGCTATGCACTCATTTATTTCCATTTTCCTGCCATAATATCTGAATTATAAAGTTTATTATCCAAATTTCACAATTCTAGACCACACTGTTTGACACAATCCATGTGCTAACTTCAAGATGAGTTCATTATTAACTCATGAATGCTTTAAATCAGTTATTATCATCTTCTGATATACATTTATTTATATTAATATTCAATAATATATTCTATATATTCTATTTTTTTTTTTATTATCTGTACTTCACAAATATATAATACAATTTGAATTTAAACAATTATGATTTCCTCCTTGGTTGACATTTCAATTCCAATACAGATTTAACAATGAATCTGTCCACTTTATAGTTTCTTAGTACTGTCATTCTACAAATGACACTAAATAATAAAACTCAATGGATAACTTAAGCTCAGATCCTTGCAGCAAATCTTCAGTTCATTAGCTTATGCAGTACACAAGATTGGACAATATAGCAATACATTGCAATATATTACAATAGTCTATTTTCATTATTGTGATAACAATTGTCTTATGTTGTACATATTCATATTATAAAATCATGACATTTTGTGCAATTTACTGTATGGAGAGTTATAACTCATCAAAAGGCAAATACTCTCACTGTTGCGACTCAATATATATATCCAAACATTCTGTATGTACACAAATATTAACTTATTTCCAAAAACTTTTATTCATATTCATAACACTAATAGTAAATTTAAAGACAAACTTGTTGCTCAAGTATTGTTTAGAAAATTCAACAGGTTTCTTGTACAATCAATAATACAATCAAGAGCCAACAACATTCATTTCTGGCTTTACCAAAAGCTTTTCTTTAGGTTAAAAGTCAACTTCATAAATTATAAAACTAAACTAAAGTCAACAGGTCTTTTGTACAATCAAGACCCAACAACATCCATTTCTGGCTTTACCAAAAGCCTTTCTTTAGGTTAAAAGACAACTTCATAGTTTACAAAACTGAACCATGTAAGAATAGTCTTACCTGTAATCTATCACTTTCTAACATGTCACATATTAATTGGGTGCTTATAAATTCCAACAATCACTTACTAAACATTGTCTCAAATGACAAATGTACATAGCTACAGGTACCTGCACAGGACCTTTAAGTACCTTTATTGATCAACAATGGCTGCTAAGGGCCATTCTAATGAATTTCAAGAGAAGCATCAAAGAAGTGAACCAATTGCTCAAACATATAATACATTCAATATGAGCATACATATAATATATAATTCCAGCATAATATGACACCTTTGAGGAATTGGATATCATCTCTAGGTGCTTTTTCAACACATTAATAATCAATATCATATGATTATGATAACCTTGAGGATCCTAATAGATCTCAATTGGATTTTATACTAATTAATAATTAAATAAGGAACTATTAATAATAATAGTTTACAGTTATTCGGTTTTTAACATTAGAGTTTACTACCAATTGTTAGCCACTGCTATATATATATACATTATATATATATATACAATTCAAAACACAGCAAGAAATAAATATAATAATTGTACTATCAGAGTTAAGTACTATTTTCACTGAGAGCTTCACAGCTAATCATGAGATAGCATCTAAAATGTCTTTAATATGTAATATTATGAAATATAACATGTTATGTAGCTTGTATCAGTTTATGTCAACAATATACTGTGTCTATCTATATTAATATGCTTTATTAATTCATTAATAAACACATATCAAAGTATCAACCAATATAATATATATATGACAGTATCTCAATTTGGGAATATAACCACAATCAAGACATATACCTGGACTATGCCTGTGATTGTCATTTATCTGAAATGGGATCATCAAACATATATGTGTACCTATGTAAAGAAATAATAACAATTCTTCAATTCAATTCACATAGAACAAACACACAAAACTGAACAGTAAGTTTGACTAATTTAATGTGAATTAGCAACAAACTCAGCAATACCATTACACTGTTTATATGTATAACATGGTATGTGTTCTCATGTTCAACCTGTATGTCAACATAGTTAATGTAACTGTTTCTAATCTGTTGATATCCTATCATACTCTATCATAGGCATTAATAACATAACAATAGTTACTCTGTATTTTAAACTAATTAGATATCCATGTTGTTTTATACTTAATGTATTCATAATACTTCTTTCTTAGGTATATTGTATACCTCAATATCGTGCTACATGTCATGTCATTACTCTCGCAAGTTATCGTACATACTAAATCTATTTAATATGTAGAAAGCAATTCATCCAAAAGTTCAATAAAACAAGTGAGATACTGCGTTTAATGGTATGCGTGTTATTAACGTAAATTCACTTACCACAACTTCTAGTCAGAATTACCTTACGGTCGAATTTGTAGGCGGGATTGGTACCGCTTCTGAACTTTTAAAATCACTAGTATCCTGACGACTTAGGCGTAATGCCGGTTAGTCAGGGAGAGAAACACCTCAATGCCTACAATATTCACAATTACCTATCTCTTATTTGTTTTTATAATAATATAAACACTTTCGCTCCAAAACTCCCGCTGCTTACGTTCAATTCCGTCATCCACTTGTCAATGTCACATAGATTACTTTGGCTCTGGCCTCTGACGTTCCGTTTCAGGTTACATGATTATTGACTTTACCATTTTTTTAATTAATGGTGCGTCACACGATAGTTAACAATTTGCTTTTGCAATAGCATATGCTGGCGGTTACTCTATTCTCCCAAATTTGAATTTAAATGAATCTGTATTATTGCAGATATGTACAACATTTGTTTGCAAAGAATACGAACTGAGTTTCTTGTCAGTTCTTTAAACTTTTTTTTTGATTTATTAAATTATTTTTCTCTTTAAAGTTTTAAATTTACACAGAAATATTATATATAATTTTAAAAATATTTAGATAATGATTAAAATGGCGTGGTTAATTTATTTGAATTATATAAAAGGAGCCAATTCTAGATTCTAATTTAGAAAAAGGTCAAATTCAAATTCAAATTCAAAATATCTTTATTCATGTAGGTCTATTACAGACTCTTATGATATGTCAAATCTACCGTCAGTTCGGAATGATATCGAGATGAGAAGAACTGACAAGAAACTCAGCTCGTATTTTTTTCAAATAATAGTGGAACATGTTTATAATAAATATAGTTTTTAAAATTCAAATTTGGGAGAATAGAGTGATCACCAGCATATGCTATCGCAAAGAACAAAAAATTTAATCAGTGTTCATAACCTGAACAGACCAGTCCCCACAAGCAGCACCCGTTCACGAGTATGACGTATGAGCCAGCCATCATTGTACTCAACCATATTTGGGAGCACATCGACCCGGCCCAATTCCCGGCCCGGTCATTTTTCTATTTAATTGCCGAAATCATAAAAGTCTGTAATAGACCTATAATGTTTTGCATGAATTCGTTTTTGAATTTGAATTGAATTATAGAGGTCTCGCTTTGTTTATATTTCAGGCAAATGTAATAACTTGGAAACTCTGAACTTGACAATGGCGCAAGGAGTCACAGCCGGTGGACTCACGTCCATACTGGAGGGATGTCACAAGTTAGTAACTTAAACTCAGTTGTTTATGTATATTTGACGGACTCTGTGGTCCAGCGGTTACTTGGTGTCGCTGTGTGAAGTGTCCAGGGTTATTATTATTATAATATCTATACATATAAATAAAATTGGAGTGTCTGTTTGTAATATTGAAACCGTTTTTTACCACATGCATATGAATATAAATATGGTGCATACACCAAAATAACATTTTTTACAAATTTTGTCTGTCTGTTGAAAACATGACATTGACAAAAATTGTGTTAAAATAAATAATAACCCAAGACATAGAAAACACCCAGACCGATACGAACAATCAACCTCATAAATATAATTGTTTGTACCGTGCGGGGAATCGACCTGCGACCATAGACCGTAAAGCAGTGTGCTAAACCGCTAGACCATCGACGCCGTCAAATAAAACTAATAGATAATGATAATAAACTAATGATAGATCTTATGCCTTAACAAATATTATTTCTATTTACAGTTTACTATCATTAAATCTTTCCTGGTGTGGTTTGAGTACCTCCGCGCTGACAGCGCTGGTGGGCCCTGAAGAGGAGGAGGCACCCGAGGGTTCCCCAGGAGAGGACGTCCAAAAGGAACCAGAAAGACCCGTTTTACCGAGGTTACAACGACTCAGTATCGCTGGCGCTAGGGTACTCTCCGATAATAGTGAGTAAAATAATAATCGCAGGACAATTCACACAGCGCCATCTAGACCCAAGTTAAGCTAGCTAAAGCTTGTGTTGTGGGTACTAGATAACTGATACAAATACATAGATATTTTTTTTTGTAAATACATACATATTATACATAGAAAACACCCAGACCGATAAGAAAGAAAAACATTTATTGTCAACCATTATTATATATACATACACATATGCACATAGACACTCATATACATATATACATACATACATACACACTTAGAACAATTACAATAATTCATCTTATATTATTTCTACATATGGTTGGCAACATGGCTGACACTCAGCATATGCCGTGACAGCTAACTGTCACGGCGCTGGTATTCTGTGCCTGCCATTAGTGACAAGACGTACAGCTCGATGTCAGTTATTTTGACCTTTGATACAAACAATCATACTCATGAATACAAATGTTTGTGCCGTGCGAGGAATCGAACCCGCGACCATCGGACGTAAAGCGGTGTACTGGACGGTTAGACCACCGAGGTCGTCGTAATAATAATAACTTGTTTGGTTTCGGCCCGTTAGTGTGGAAAGAACCAGCAAGAGCTGAGAAAATGCGACAATAGCATAATCTATACATATAAATAAATTGGAGTGTCTGTTTGTAATATTGAAATAACCGTTTATTACTACATGCATATGAATATAAATACGGTACATACACCAAAATATTTTTTTTTACAATTTTTGTCTGTCTGTCTGTGTTTTTGTTCCGGCTAATCTCTGAAATGGGTGGACCGATTTTGACTTTTTAAGGGTAATTCCAATATATCCTTTGGTATTTTATTTTAATTTTTGTACCTATTGACTTTTTCTAAACGATACTTGGGGACAGCAAGTTTGTCTTCAAATCTAGTATTAATATTATGAATATTGATGTTTTTTTGGAATTTGTTTGTTACTCTCTCACAAAAAAACTATTGAACGGATTTTGATGAAATTTTACATCTTATGCATCAGTATAATACAAGCCATATTTTTTATTTCAATTTAACGTGGGTAAAACCGCGGGCAGAGGTAGTATAATACAAATATAATTATAATTTATTTGTATAAAAGAAATAAATATGTCTTTATTTCTCTAGACCATTCCTGCGCCATCTACCACTTTCTATCTTCTCTCCTCTACCCAAAGGTTGTGTGGAAGAGATTGCTTACGCGTACCGCCTTTTGTGCCTTATTAGTTATAGCTTTTGCCCGCGGCTTCGCTCGCGTTATATTATCCCCTTAGGGATGGAATTTATCAAAATCCTTTCTTAGAGGATGCCTACGTCATAGTAGCTTTATGCATGCAAAGTCTCAGCCCGATCGGTTTACAATTGACAAATTTTCATCCCCTATTTTATCCCTTTAGGGGTAGAATTAATCAAAATCTATTCTTAGCGGGTGCCTACGTCATAACATCTACCTGCATGCCAAATTTCAGCCCGATCCGTTCAGTAGTTTGGGCTGTGCGTTGATAGATCACTATGTCAGTCACCTTTGAGTTATATATATTTAGATTATGTACTTATGTTCTTTGTAATACACTTCTGGTGCAATAAGAAGTAAATAAATAAATAATTATTAATTGTCCAGTGCTGTCGCGTCTGGTGCATCGTTGGGAGCGACTGCTGGAGTTGGACCTGTCGGACTGCGCCGCCCTCGGCACTGGAGCCCTGGAGACCTTGAGGCGGTTGCCTCGTCTCCATCATCTCGCACTCAGTCGCTGCTACCTTCTACCACACGCGCTCACGTAAGCAACCAACATTTTTATTGTATTTTATGAGAGAAAACTTAATTTGGCAGATTAAAATATCATTACATAGTATAAAACTTCTTTTTTTCCTTTGTTGTTTATATTGTATTTTTTACATTGCACTGAATAAAATATTTTTCTTTCTAAAAGTCTCTGTCGCTGTCTGTCTCTATGTATGCTTAAATATTAAAACTAGTTAATTTTAAACTTTCGTGTTTAATACACATTATTTAAATTATTAACCGGATCTTAACACGAATAATTTTATAGCAAATAAAGGTTTTTTTTATCTCCTTGTTTATTTACCTCTCTTTAAAACTACGCAACGGATTTCGAAGCAATATTTTTTATAGGTAGAGTGATTCTATAGCCTATGTTCAGCTGTGGACGTCTTCCGGGCTGCAATGATGATGATGATGAGTGATTCTGGAGGAAGGTTTATATATATAATACATGTACACTAGGGTGTCCCTTATATGGGTGAAAAATTTTTTTTTTCAGATATCGAAATGCATACCCCTTAATTCTTTTTAAACTACCTAAACTTAATCAAATACAAAATTTTATCTTTATATGTCAACATTAACCCGTGCCGACAGAGCCTTGAATATTTTAAAAATCGTTGTCTTTAACGCTTATCGTTGTGTATGTGTAATAAAATGAAATAAAATGTTTAATAATAATAATCAAAGAGAAAGTTAGAATATAGTATTTATTAATCAAATGAACATCACAAATATTTTCTTTTAAGGGTCTCTTTTTTAGTCTGGATACAGATTTCTATGCTCTTGTACACAAAAACTCTTGTAGGTACGCAGCAAAAACTGTTTTTGATATTCTTTTGCAGTGACTAAGCCATTGAAATCTTGCATAAGTTTTACAGCTCTTTCAGCTGTATCATTCACGGCCCTCAAAGAAAGAACTCTTGTTTTAGCCTGCAAATAGGTTACATCTTCGTCCCATGCAGAAACGGTTTTCTTTAAGAAGTCTGTATCCATATTTAAACGAGCAAATAAATTTGTGCTCTTAACAGACACAAAATCATTTAATGATTTTCCTGCAACAAAATACAAGATATATTATTATCAGTTTATTAAGATGGATATAAGATATAAAACTATTTAATTATTAAATTAAATAACTTAATACGGTTTAATTATTACATTTATCAGTCAGGTCAGGTCTAGACCAACCAAATATAAAATATGATAAACGCGATAAAACCGAATTAAATTAAAATGTATAACAAAAAAAACTATACTAAAATAAATGTTATGTATTTCTACTTACCATACAAATAATCAGACATATCTTCTTTCGATGGACTGTATCTTTTTACAGAATCATATAAACTATCTCTTTGTAAGTTCGCTACAATATTCGTCTTAGTTTGTTCATCTACTTCATCATCAAAGAGTGATAAAACAGCTATTTCTTCTTACAAGTACCAAAAATGTTGACTAAACTTGCTCAGGGCAGCTTTGGAGATCTCTTTATTAACAGTTTCATATTCCTTAAGACTTTTTAAAAAGCGCAAAGCTTGATTTGGGGCCGTGACTACCAGACTACATCCAAGCCATGGTTTTACATATATAACTGCAATGAATAAACAAATATCTTGAAGGGCTCTTTTATCCTTGGCGCTAATTTTGAATTGAGATTGCAACAAACATATTTTCAAAGAGTAAATGGCTCTAGCCATCCACCTAGCTTGATGCATTGCTCCAGAAGGTCTTATTTTAATATTTTTCTTTGACGATTTATTTATCGGGAACTCATCACAGCTGAGATCTAGGGCTTCTACTACAGCCTGAAGTATATAGACAGAGTCCCTTATGCTTAATTGACATCTATCTAAAGTGGCAACTAACTTAGGAGTGATGAAATCTTTCCTTCCTCTTTTTGAAGTAGTTACAGAACTTACCATTTGAGATGTTGACGGCAAGGGTTCCTTAAGGCTTTCATCAGAGCTGGTATTGGGATTGGGATTTTCTTGCGTTTCGATAAAATCTTGTGTAGTTAAAGATGACGATAAACTTTTGGAACATCTTGTCTTTTTTTCTCTTCTTTTAATTTTCTCTGTCTTGTTCTTTTTTCTTTCTCGGCTAACTTTTTATCTACTCTCGCTAAACATCCTAGACGCCCTGGTTCTCTTTGTTTTTGTAAAAATATTTTATCTTCTTCTATTTTTATCCAGTCCGAAGCATTTGCGTGTGCTATATCGAATAAATTATCTAAATTATTTTGAAAGTCCTCCTCACAGCGCTTGTAAACAGCTGGCGTTTTTTTTTAATTTTTTTGTAACTCCAAGCACGGTGAAGATCCACAAGTATTTTTACACAGTTAGGCACAGGTCTGGTAGGGATTCTAGCTTTTTCCCAGAATATAATACACTCTCGAACGGCAAGATTTGCGCTTCCATTAGCAATAAATTTAACTTGTTAAAAAAGAGGACTGCAAGAACTTGACGATTAGACGGTAACTTTGCTACAGTTATTTGATGGTTCACGTCACCAACTAAGAAAATACTTTTTTTATAGCTTCTTAATTCCACTGCCATTTTTTTAAACATAAAAACAATATGTTAATCACAAGAGTTACTTGAAACAAATGGCAAATACGACGGGTGCGCGCCACTAGTTCGGCGTTATTTGTATGAACATGTTTCGATGCAAGTCGGCACGGGTTATCGTTCTCCAAATTATATAAAAATGTATTTTCGAGTGTTTTAGGAACATATGAACAAAACTAAGACCTATGCATTAAAAAATAAAAACTTTGAAAAATAAGGGACACCCTAATGTACACCCTTGCGAATCCTGGGCAGGTAGGTAGTTGATAATTTTTTTCTTATTAGTCAGGTACCTTACAGGTACTAGAGCCGGCCTGCCCCACTATCTACTTCCATGGGTACTTCCAGTTCCTTGCAGCTTAGTCCACCTTTTCTTCCTTTATGTGTCTATGTCTTATTTATTTATTTACAAAACAGATTACAGTCAATATAATAATATAATAGGAGCGTGTAGTTCGGTACAGAACTGGATTGTAATCCAACACTATGTATGCCTAAGAGCTAAATTATATAGACGCATTCAATATACGCTAGGTAATTAGATAAGGTTATATAATAATAAAAAGTAAACTAAATAGAAAATGATATATAACTACGTAATGCAATAAATTATCATGTTAACAGAATTTTATTCATATTAAAGAAAAGAAAATTGGTATACCTAATGTTAAATATAATTTGTCACTTTACGGTGGAAATTTAATTGTCTCCGGAACTGGACCAGCGTTGAATGGAAAATATCTATATTTCTATTCGAGACAAGAATTTCATTGTATTGGCGACACATTCGAACTATTGGATTATAATAAGAAGTATTATTTGAGTAAACCTGAAGATAGAAGGTGTTATAATACGTATACACTCTGCCCCAGTGGGCAGGGAAGTGTGCAGCGCGAGAGTGTAAACACGATACTTCCCATGCCATTGGCGCTGCCACCCGCGCCGGCGCTCCCTCGATTGTTGGTTTTTGGTGCGCGAGTGGCAGCGTGTGTTTATTATATATATATATATATATATTCAGCCCTCTCGCTCAGTTGTCGCCCAGCAATATTTCCGGCAGCGCGAGTGGCAGGCGAAGCGGCTGAATGTAAACGTAGCAGTTTGCTAATTAAAAGTAAAATGTACAATTGCAGGAAGTTAGTCAACATGCCAGCTATGCAGTTCTTGGACGTATGGGGAATGTTACCATCCAAATCACTCAGCGCACTAAAATCGGCGCTGCCTGGTATACAAATCAACCAGTTTATGTTTAGGTAAGTTATAATAGAAGTGTTGATGAGTTAGCAAATGAATGAATCAAGTGAAAGAGCGAGAGCATGATTCTGTCATCGAACCGACAATGAAACTTCCCGATCATTTCATATCATACAATTTTCACTCGTCACAAATATTTCAATATTGATTTGAGGTTATCATTTTATTTTCGCATATTCGTCCGATTATGTTATTATTAAAATGATTATGCGTTCTATAAGTCCTTCTGCTGCTTTAAGTGTCATTTCTACTCGCCCCCTATAGTTCGGTGAAGCTTTCAAGGCTAGATGCGCCCAAAAATATTAGAAATGTTCGAAATAATAAAAAAAAAAACGTTTTATTCCAGGTAGCTTCTTATGTTACGGCGGGTGATATTTGCGTTTTAAAAAAAATATATTTTATTTAATTAAAATTATCAAAGTACAAATGTATAATTATGTGTAATGATCGAACAAGACTGTCCTACATACAACAATCAATTATATAAGTTAGGTGTCAATATTCTTGGTAGTTTGCTGTTCCCGGTAGCGGTGTCAGCTCATTGTGCCACACACAGCAATTTACTAGGCTTTTTTTTTATGGATGATAATGGAATGGTGCACCCGCCTGCGCTAATGGTATACGCTGGTGAGGCACCAGTGGAGGATGATAAGATGAGGTCAGGTCAGTTAGCCCATCGTGACAAATTACTAAGAATTTATCGCGATGGTTTCCAGGGGAAATTTAGATGAGCATGAGGTCAGGTCAGTTAGCCCATCGTGACAAATTCACTAAGAATTTATCGCGATGGTTTCCAGGGGAAATTTAGATGAGCATGAGGTCAGGTCAGTTAGCCCATCGTGACAAATTCACTAAGAATTTATCGCGATGGTTTCCAGGGGAAATTTAGATGAGCATGAGGTCAGGTCAGTTAGCTCATCGTGACAAATCACTAAGAATTTATCGCGATGGTTTCCAGGGGAAATTTAGATGAGCATGAGGTCAGGTCAGTTAGCACATCGTAAGAAATTCACCATGAATTTATCACGATGGTTTCCAGGGGGAAACGCGTGGACGTCAACCTGACATGATACATTGATAGCTATGTGGTTATTAGTTCTTGCCAGTTCTTCTCACCTCGAATACATTCCGAACTGACGGTACATATGACATATCATATTCAAATTCAAATATAACACACATCCATATATATATATATATATCTGATGTGACTTTTGTATTATTATTGGATACTTATATTTACTTTTAAAAATATATATATAATATGAAATTCAAATTCAAATTCAAATTAAAAAAATGATTTATTCCCATCGTGACAAATCACTAAGAATTTATCACGATGGTTTCCAGGGGAAATTTACCAGGCGTTACGCCATGGTAACTAGCTCAAGTCATGTTTATTACGAGTTAGAACATCTAAGTTATAACAGTAGAAACTAACTTTTAGCATAATCATAAAAACACTAGAGAACTGTGATCTTCAAGTATTCAATACTTACAAAGAGATCTCAGCCCCGGCCTAAGAAAATTGGTTAATGAAATAAACTTATTATTATTATTACTAGCTACTCGCCCCGACTTCGCTCGGGTGTACATGTATCATACATATAAACCTTTATCTTGAATCACTCTATCTATTAAAAAAAATCGCTTCAAAATCCGTTGCGTAGTTTTAAAGATTTAATCAAACATAGGGACGGACGGCCAGCGACCTCGACTTTATTTTATAGTATGTAAAAATGTTTTTTCTGTATCTCATGTGGCTGTAATTGTTGAATAAAGAATTTATCTATATATCTATTGTTGATTAAATATAAAAATGTCATTTTTTAATATTAGAAGCTAGAAGCTCCTTTTAATTAAGAATTAAAGAGCATGATGGAATATAGCGGAAAGTGGCAAGAGCTCCACCGACAAGAGCGTAGCTCTTAAATTATGAATGAATGAATGAAGTAGCTCCCTTTATAAAAGTCAATTGAATTAACCACGCAGTCTTAATCATTATCTAAATACTTTTAAAATGATATACAATACTTCTGTGTAAATTTGAAACATTAAAAAATAATTTGAATAAATTTAAAAACTTTAAATGCTTGTCTTGTAAAAAATGTACATTTGGGACCGTCCATTAATGACGTGATCTTTTTTAAGCATTTTTTAACCACTACCCCTTGGTGATACGTGGTCAGGTTTAAAACTACCCCCGCCCCTCTCCCCACTCAACATAACGTGTATTTTTAGTGCTTACGAAGATTCTTAATTTTTTTTAATATCATCTTTAAATACAGGTATAAAGTATAATCTTATTTTTGGTTGCAGATTGTTTTTGATTGGCATAAAATAAATACACGTGATGTCTCACTAGAACCTCTAGAAGGGGGAGGCCCCCTTGTGATATATCGTGATTTTTGTCAAACCCCTCCCCCTCCTTTTCAAGGATCACGTGATTAATGGATGGCCCCTCTTGAATAGTGCCATTTTTCTTTAACCTACTATATCTATTCTGAATGTTTGTATGTTTGTTGCAGCGCTATCGCCCGACCCACTGTTGGACAACGGCGGACTTCGATATGGGGACTCCGCACGAGAGACTGATGTATTTTGGTTATTTATTACAATTAGGTTGTAAATATTTATATTACGAATTTAGTAAAGACAATTTCATTAAGATATGTTGAAACGTAAAGCTCATATTTAGTACACTAGATACTCGCCCCGGCTTCGCGCGGTACATGTATTATATATATAAACCTTCCTCTTTAATCACTCTATCTATTTAAAAGAAACCCATTCAAAATCCGTTGCGTAGTTTTAAAGATTTAAGCATACATAGGGACGGACAGACAGCGACAGCGACTTTGTTTTATATTATGTAATGATATAACAGTGCAGTTTAGAGGAGCTTCCTCCCGCGTACACTTACATTGTGGAAACTACCTGCCGAGGTTTTCTAGAGACTACAGCACGGGGTTTTCAAGAAGGGTATATTAAAAAATTAATAACACTTTGATCAAAGTGAATGAATTCCTCAGTCTCACCTATTTCAGCCAAGCAGCTTGTAACATGTTACGGTTGTAGGGTGCAGATTAGGCAGTGAAATTACAGGGTAAGCAAGTATAGGGACTGTAATGGGAAATTCATGACACTGAGCAATGTGTCATCATCATCATCTTCTTCCTTATCCCATTTATTTGTGGTCGTCGTAATGTTTTTCTCTTCCATTCATCTCTGTTCGCAGTCATCCCGTTATTTACTCCCTTTCACACAGTCCATCCATCTCTTTTTCGGTCTTCCTCTACCCTTATAACCATCCACATTCATGTGTAACACCGTCCTTAGGATATGATCTTCAATCCTACGCATTACATGCCCATACCACGATAGACGATTACTCTTTAACCTCTCTGACATTTTTGAGGAATGTGTGTATCTCAGTATTTCAGCATGTAGCTAAGTTGTTACGGTTGTATAGTTGAGAATAGGCAGTCAAATTCCAGTATAATCAAGCTTTAAAGTTACAATAGAAAATTAATAACACTTTCTTCAAAGTCTGTGTATCCCTCAGTCTCACCTATTTCAGCCAAGCAGCTTGCTTTGTAAAGTGTTAAGGCTGTAGGTTGAGAATAGGCAGTGAAATTCCAGTATAATCAAGCTTTAAAGTTACAATAGAAAATTAATAACACTTTCATCAAAGTCTGTGTATCCCTGAGTCTCACCTATTTCAGCCAAGCAGCTTGCTTCGTAAAGTGTTAAGGCTGTAGGTTGACAATAGGCGTATAGTTGAGAATAGACAGTGAAATACCAGGATAACGAAGCTTCGCAGCTGTAATAGAATTTTAATAACACTCAAAATGTGTGAATTCCTCAGTTTAACCAATTCCAGCCGATAAACAGTTGCTTGTTAATAAACAGTGTCGTGTTGCTTTTAAAAATGTTACAGTTATAGGTTAAGAGAGTGAGCAGTGAAATTATAGGGTAAGCAAGTATAGTGGCTGTAATAGGAAATTCATGACCCTTAGAGCAATGTGTGTGTACCTGAGTCTCATCTATTTCAGCCAAGCAGCTTGTTTTGTAACACTTTACGGTTGTAGTTGAGATTAGGCAGTGAAATTCCAGGATAGTTCAGTGCCCCTAATCGAAATTTCACCCGTCAAGCAGAAGTTTTGTAAATTCGACTTTAGTAAGTAGATTTAGAGTTGATTTTTGAATATCAGTTTTTTATTGCCAAGAAGAAATCTTGGTTTCAGCTGGAGTTGATTATTCAATATTTATATTTGTTTTCTATTATAACAGTTCACTACTAAATCTACGATATATAGATTAGATATTTAAAGTATATTTAAATATAAATTGTAAATAAAATCAAAATATTGATTGAGTCAGTAGGATTCTGGAATAAATAAAAAATCGCATTTATTTTCATATATTTTGTTTTACTTTTAATTATAATAATGATCCTGGATAAATGACGCAACGCCACATATTCCTAAGTTAATCATAACTTGTGTTATGGATACTAAAAACATACTAGAAATATATATATATATATATTTATAAATACATATATAACATACAAAGAAAACACCCAGACCGATACAAACAATCATACTCATGGATACAAATGTTTGTACCGTGCGAGAAATCGAACCCGCGACCATCGGAAGTAAGAGGGTGTGTTTTTTTAAGGATGATAATGGAATTGTGGACCCGCCTGCGCTAACGGTTTACACTGGCGGGACACCAGTGGAGGATGATAAAATGAGCATGAGGTCAGGTCAGTTACCCCACCGTGACAAATTCACCAAGAATTTATCAAGATGGTTTCCAGGGGAACCGCGTGGAGGTCAACCTGACATGGTACATTGCTAGCGATGGGATTATTAGTTCACATTATAAAACAATCCGCTTCCCCCCAGAGGGTGTGTTTAACCACCCAGGGGTGTGTTTAACCACCCAGGGGTGTGTTTAACCACCCAGGCCGTCAATCTATTGAATAGTATGAATAAATTTAGAAATAGACTAGCTTTTGCCCGCGGCTTCACTCGCGTTATTTTATCCCCTTAGGGGTGGCATTTATCACAATCCTTTCTTAGGGGATGCCTACGTCATAGTAGCTTTATGCATGCGAAAACTCAGCCCGATCGGTTTAAAATTGACAAAGTTTCATCCCCTTGGGGGTAGAATTAATCAAAATCCTTTCTTAGCGGATGCCTACGTCATAACATTACCTGCATGCCAAATTTCAGCCCGATCCGTCCAGTGGTTTGGGCTGTGCGTTGATAGATCACTACGTCAGTCACCTTTGAGTTATATATATTTAGAGTACAAAGTCGTCTATCCAAGCACCTAACAATACCCAATAAAAAAATAAAACTCGTTTTAATACAGTATTGAACCTTCTATATTGTCATTTTGTTTATTAATTTATTTACTAGCTGTGATCGCGACTTCGTCCGCGTGGAATTTACCTTTATTTTTCTAAAATAAAAGTAGCCTAAGTTGCTACCTGCCAAAAAAAGTCCCGTCCCGTCAAAATTGGTCCAGCCAATTTAAAGATTAGCCGGAACAAACAGATACACATACAAAAATTGTAAAAAAAATGTTATTTTGGTATATGAACCGTATTTATATTCGTATGCATGTAGTAAAAAACGGTTATTTCAATATAACAGACACTCCAATTTTATGTATATGTATATTCGCGGTTTTATCGCTAAATGCAATCTCTTACTGACAACCTAGAAGAGAGGACTTATGTACATAGAATAGGGTAGGTGGCACACATAAGACACTTTATAGTAGTAATTGAGCAGCCAGTTGATTTGGGTAGTTAAATAGTAGCTTTTTATATTCTTCTTTGCAACTGAGTATCTCCTTTACTGTCAGTACGCCAAGTTCCTCGTGAATTTCGTTGTTGGTGATGTACCAAGGGACACCCGGTATGGTAGTAGACATACCAAGTATACAATTAGAAAAAAAAAGAATAATAAAAAAGTGAAATATTTTTTTTATTTATTATTGTACGTCCTTTTTGCCTTTTGCTCAGCGGCGTCGCTAGCCTCAACGAAGGTTCTCTTCAACTTGTTCTTCCTACTCTCCCTGTACTTCGCTGACACCTTCTCAGCGAGTTTCGCTATCCTCTTCATGGTCTGTGGTGGGTATCTACAACATTGTAATTTACGTTATTACTAGCTGACCGTGCAAAAAAATAGGGTGAGCACAATAGATCTATGTAAGCCGCAGTGCTCTATACACCTGAACGTAGCCCAAAATTATCAATAAAAAAAAATACTCGTATTACAACATAATTACAAGTACACTGCTACAGGTCTAAACACCTGACCATAGCCAAAAAAATCACTCGTATTGGGGGGAAGGGGATTGTTAGTAATGTGGACTAATGTTCCCATTGCTAGCAATGTACCATGTCAGATCGACCTCCACGCGGTTACCCCCTGGAAACCATCGTGATACATTCCGGTGAATTTGTCACGTTGGGCTAACTGATTTGACCTCATGTTCATCTTATCATCCTCCACTGGTGCCCCGCCAGCGTAAACCGTTAGCGCAGGCGGATGCACCATTCCATTATCATTAAAAAAAAATCACTCGTATTACAACATAATTACAAGTACACTGCTACAGGTCTAAACACCTCACCATAGCCAAAAAAATCACTCGTATTACAACATAATTACAAGTATGTTAATAACGTGTATTACGTATACAAGCTCATCCTGCAAACATTTTACCATATAAATTAAAATCGCTATTAAAAAATACTGGTTGATGCTAGAAAATTTAGGTTTATAGGTAATTTATAATGTCACATAAACAAAATAAAAACATTTTCGTACAAAAAATAAAAATTAATGTTACGGTTAGACAACCTATCACTTAGGGGTATGAAAAATAGTAGCCTTTTCTCAAACCTTACTGCATTAGGAATGCATATAAAATTTCATAAAAATAGGTCAAGTCATTTCAGAGGAGTATGGTAACTGACATTGTGACGCGAGAATTTTATATATAAGATAATGGCAAACAATCTAACATTCTACCTAATTGTACATCAAATCAAATGATGTGATTATCTTGAGTAGACATGGTCCCTAAACCAGGTCGGGACATTGGGGTCCCTAAAATGGACGAGAACAGTGATGGCTGACAAAATTATTTAAATCAAATCAAATGATGTGATTGTCTTGAGTAGACATGGTCCCTAAACCAGGTCGGGACATTGGGGTCCCTAAAATGGTCGAGAACAGTGATGGCTGACAAAATTATTTAAAAGAGCAACACACAAATTTCTTGCTCGTTGTTGTGATGATGAGAGCTTTCCAGATAAGCGGTAGATTAAAAAAATTTGATGACTATTCAAAAGTGCTTCAATGTAAGTTTATTTGAATAAATTATTTACTATTCATCATACTCATGAACAAGTGCTGCTTGTAGGGACTGGTCTGCTCTAATCACTACGACTGATTTACTCTTATTTAGTTACTCAACCACTTGATTGTGTATTTAATATTTTGACTACTCAATGAGTGCTACAAATGGTAGTTGGTATTCTCATATTTCAACTTAAAAATCTAAAGTTCGTAAGTTTCTTATTTATTCTTCTTATGATGAGGCAGCTTTCCGAATGAGTGGTAAATTAAAAGAACTGAAACAGCTTTCCGAATGAGTGGTAAATTAAAAGAACTGAGACAGCTTTCCGAATGAGTGGTAAATTAAAAGAACTGAGGCAGCTTTCCGAATGAGTGGTAAATTAAAAGAACTGAGACAGCTTTCCTAATGAGTGGTAAATTAAAAGAACTTACTATTCAAAAGTATTGAAATTCATGTTTATTTATATAAAGTACTTTCTATTTTATTCTAAATTTATTTTACTATAAATATAAGAAGATCCAACTTGGTGGTCGATACTAGGAAAAGTCTATATCCAACAGTGAATAGATAGGGGCTGAAATGATGATGGCTCACCAATCAAAATTGGTGGCAGCCATTCAAAATAAAGAACAAGATGATGGTAATAAATACCAGCAGTCTTTATGAGTACTGATTTTAAAACATGTGTGGTGTGACAAGAATGAATGTCGGTGTCGGAGAGGTTGAAGAGTAATCGTCTGTAGTGGTATGGACATGTAATGGGTAGGAATGAAGATCATATCTTAAGGAAGGTGTTACATATGAATGTGGATGGTTATAAGGGCAGAGGAAGGCTGAAAAAGAGATGGATGGACTGTGTGAAAGATGATATGGTAAGAAAGGAAGTAAATAACGAGATGACTGCGAACAGGGATGAATGGAAGAGAAAAACATATTATGGCGACCGCAAATAAATGGGATAAGGAAGAAGCAGATGATGTGCCTTTATAATTTGCCTCATTAGGAGTGAAAAAAAAACAATTATACATGCAACATCAATTAAATTCAATATTACTGTACAGTTGTGTTTTGCCTCATTAGCATGAGAAATTTAAAAAAGTTATACCTGCAGCCTAAAAACTCGATATTTGTGAATAGTTGTGCCAATGTAATAAGTTCAGACTCTTCAAAATCATCTTTATGTTCCATCATGAAGTTACGACGCACCTCCCATTGCTCGTCCGACTCGTGCTCTGTACGTAGTGCTTCTACGTCTATTGTGGGTTTCATTTTACTATAAATAAAGAAATTGTGGTTAATTTGTGGTGAATTCACCATGATGTGTTTACCGACCTGACTATACTCCACTGGTGCTTCGTTAGCGTATACTCTTAGCGTTGGCGGCATTCCATTATCATACACAAAATAAACGAAGAAATAAATATTAAAAAATATATTTTTATTTGAATGACGTGAGAAATTTGTGTATTATATACATACTTACGATATGTTTACAAATTGATAGTTACAAAATTTTCAATTGTAGTTCTTCTTTTGTTTAAATGTAAAGTTTAATTTTTATTTCATTGATTTGTCAACATATTATTAAATATTTTTTACAGGTAGCGTTATTTTCATTTCAATATTTTTATTAGGTTCAAGTTTTTTTTTGTTTATCCTTTAAAGGCAGGACAAGGGTATTGTGCCCATACAGCCATGTCAGAAGTTTTGGATATTCTAAATTTCTTAGTTTATTTACATGTATTTAATTGCCCACATATTGTAGTCGCAAAGTCAAAAAATGTTTTTGAGTTTCTTAATAGTTCCTGAAGATCAAAATTGTATTTAAACTAAATTGACATTTGATTTTACTTCGAAAGAATGTCGTTGACCTTTTTTCGTTTCATTTTACATATACAACCAGAAGTTGAATTTTTTAAATATATCTTTGGTGTGTAGGTAAAATTTAACAAATATTTTTGGATGTAGCTGTATAGCATGTAATTAAAAAGTCGAGTAATTAAATCGAGTTTCCAATCATTATAATCACGAATACGCATCAAGTCTGTTCATCTTCAATCGATGGTGTGTAAAATGGAACGGCCAATAGTTTGCTAATAGCGGAGAAAGGGCAATGATCTGCCATCGTTGTTGCTAGTGAAATAAATAAAGTTGATAATTTTATATAAATATTTATTGGATGTTTATATGTTAATACATGTAACAAATCTCATTAGTCGTTCAAGTACTTTTTTTTTTTAAATATCAACAATTTAATGCGTAGTGATTTAAATCAAATAAGGATCATGTAAGGCTACACATTTTTTTATATGGCAATAAAATATCGAATATAGTAATCCAACAAAATATAAAAGTTACGGATTAAATATTTCCCCATAGAAGACACTAGCGACAATTGAAGTTTTTAAGATCATATTAAATTTAGTTGCTTTATAATCATACGTTTCACTATTGTCAAACACTCAATTTTTTAGTATTCATATTTTTTTTTATCGTAATATCGAAGGTATATAGAAATAAACTAATGTAAATTGACGTGAAATAAAATGTCGTGATACCGAGAAAAAGCCGACCATCGTCGTAAATCAACGTACAGGTAAGATATTTTCTTATAAATACAAATAACGTTTGTTTGTTTTCCTTTTGTTTACATTTTTAATTGTTTCCCGTATAGGACAAACAAGAATTTAGAAGTAACCGTTAACTTTGAAGAGACTAGTTTAGAAATGGCGTTTTCACTTAGAAAGATGTTGTCGAACATTACGTATTTTAAAAAGCCAGGGGAGGACAGTAGCCCTGAAGCGGAGGATGGGATGGTAATTCATTCGCGAGATACGTACATATCTACACAAGATACTTCCAGTTTAACTTTCGATCGCCCTGAACCTGATTCTACGTCTCTACATTGCAGTAATAGCCTGAAATTGCCAGATTCCGTCAAACAATTCGCTGCCAAAAAGGGTTCCTTGTCTGATACAGACATTTTAGCTAATATTGAGGTACCAACGAAGAAAGAAAAGAGGAAAGGCAAGAAATTAAAGTTAGATATTAAAAAAGCAAGCCAATTCATGTGTGAGATGAGCACGCACAGTTCGAATGATATCGAAAACACACCTAAACATATTCTCCTAGACTGTAAGAGCGCAGATTTGTTCAGTCAACGTATTAAAGGGTTCGATTTTAATAAGTCGTTTGAGATATTTGATGGTATGTCCGATGAATCGAGTTATGAAGACTTTGAAATTGATTCCGTGTCAGTTCGGTCCGATACGGATATATCTTTAGTGTCTGAAAATGAGAAGGAACCCGTGCAAATGTGCCGGAAGGTGGATCCTGATACTAATGATAATCAGCTGGTGCCATCGGCCACGCCGGAGTCATTTGCCGATGTGGAACTGGATAAGAATGAAGAAGAACGAATCTCACTACTGTTAAACTATCAGATGAAGCTGGAGAGAATGGAATGTTTTCTGAAGAAGTTACTCTCCGAATTTCAATTCCACATCGAAGTCTCTAAAGTCTTCAACTGCAGATCTGTTGTTACAACCCTACCTGGTACGGATGTTAGTAAGATACCCAAAACCCTCGGCGAAGTCACTTATATAGACAACCTGAGCCGCGGAGCCAGTCCCACTGGCTCCTGGAACATCATAATGGAGAAAGAGGACTGCATAACAAAATTCAAAGTTAAGAAGCAACTACTTTCAATGAAGCACAATATTGATACATTCATCAACATCTATTTGCAAAACAGAGAAACAGAGAAGAAGTTATTGACTGATGAAAGCAGAAGTTTGACATACGATATTGATAAGTCAAAACGGTCACAGAAGCGGCTTCACATCAGCTCCAAGAAGAAACACAAGCGCTTCGACTACCCTGATATAAGAGAGGCAATGCTCAACTTATTCTCGGAAGACAAAGATGACTCTAGTGTCTCTGGCAATAATGTAACCCAGCTTCTGAGTGATTATGACGAGTCAGACATGTCCAAATGTGTCTGTCGTTGTCGCTTCCACAGATCTCCGTCAACTGAGAGTGATTCTGGTGTCACGACCAAAAACGACAGATCATTGTCCAGCCAATCTATAACTTCATCCATAGGGAACTTTAGTTTGGACTCGTCAACATTAACTGCTTATTCGGAGTCCCTGGATCAGATTGTTAGTTACAACAGCTTCCAAGACACAAGTCTTTACAGCACCTTGCTACAGAAAGCAGCGATTGAGCGCATTACCTTCTATGTTCAAGTTCATAGCATACAACTGAAATGTGAGCAGGCAGAAGAAGACTTCGAGACCAAGAATGTCATAACGTTCCACTGTCCAGCATGTAAGACGGTAGAAGGTGATGAGAATGGTCTTTTAAAGCATATTTTAAGTCAAACACACTGCGAGAAGATCCATTTCTTATACAAAACAGCTTATATTAAGAAGTGTATGTCGGGTGGTAAGGAAATTCAGCCCAGCACAGTTCTGAATCCGATGGTAATGTACAGGGATGAGAATAAGATAGTTTGCTTCGGGGATGCAATGTTTGCATGTTCGTTGTGCTTCGAAAATCTGATCATCGGCGAGTCGGTCTTGATGGCTCACTGCGCGGACCCGGAGCATTTGGAGCGCAAAGAGAAGTTGTCAGACTTATTAGAATAAGTGCATGTTGCATGTATTTGTCTCTTATTATTTGTTTTTTAATATCAACATCTCGATCTGGCATTGGGAAAGAATTCAACCGATTCACAATTATACAATTTAATTTTATAATTAACAGAACAGTCTTCCATTTTGAATTTTCTTTTTTTTTTATTTCTAAACAAATGATACGAGGCAAAAGAAAGTTGATTGTTGTATGTTATTTATGATAGGAATTTGTATTCATTATTATAATATTAATCAATTATGATTAGTGTGCTAGTTAACATATAGTGTACGAATTATTGACACATCAAAATTTACACGCAAGAAATAGATTTTACATGTTTTTTACCAAATGGTTGTGATCATACTCATCAGAAATTTATATGTTGAATATTTTTTACAACCGCAAGTAATTCATTCTAGATCATTCCCATTACATGAAATTAGTACCTACTGGTGAGTTTGTACGATTTACTCACTAAAAACTAAGACTTTTATAATCTGTTTTCATGTCTTGTCTGTGTACTGTTATTTTTATCTGTTTCTTGTTGATTCGACTGTTTTTCTCTACTCAAATTATACACGATCTCATTTTATAAAGAATTATGAAGTGTCCTTTTTTATTAAGAAAAAAGAGACCAAATTCAATTGTGATTTTTAGCTATAAAAAATTGTGTTGTATCGTCGCGGTAAGCATGCTTGAAAACAAAAAAGTAATATTTTTCGTGCATCGTTTCTACTTATGCTTAAATTGTTTTTAGAAAAAAACTAATACATTTTATTATTTATGGTATGGTTATGATATTTTTGAGAAAATTTCTCAAGCATGTTTCCCGTATTTTGTGTTCAGATGTAAAACCTCACTGCCATATTAGAGTACCGACTTAAAATATTGTGTTCATATTGTGTCCATTTTTAACCGTATTAGACAATATTAGACCAAAACTTACCTTTTGTTGGGTTCGCTGTCACTTCGTTAATTATAATATTACTAAAACAAGTGCTATTTAACGTTACTGTGTCAATAGGAACTAAATACAATCAATTTTCAAAAAAATACAACGAATAACGACTAATAAAATTAGATTTCGCAATAAAATAACGTTTTTTAACACGTTAAGACTGCATTGATAATTATTTCTCACATAGGGACCGGCATCCTTTTTGTTGTTAATTTTGTATATCATTTTTTAAATATGTTTTTAGTGTACAATAATTTGAGGTAGACATTATTTAACTCCTAGATTTATTTCAATTAAAGTGCCCACGGGTGATCACTCGGTCCCGACGTGTACATTTACTTTCGTTGCGGAGTGACCCACCGGTGGGCATGCGGTCTTTGACGTTCAAGTCAACAATAGCTTTTTACTTTTTTTTATTATTACACAGATATATTAATATTACTAACTTAACATACTTATTTGATACTAAATTACATCTTATATTCTTTATTTCTGAAGTACAGGTAATAAAGCTCTTACAATAAATAACATTTTTCTACAATTACGCATGCAAAAGAAATTGCAGATTGAAGAAAAAAGAAGTTTATACATTATGGTCACACAAACAAACAGTAAAACCAGCTATTAATTTAAATTTTAATAGAAATAACACATGACAAGAAATAAGCACTTCCCTCAACTGTGATACAAGTAAAAAGTCTGTTTTTATTATATTGAAAACGGTTTTTTACTAAAAATTAAAAGAAAACATTTTGTGCCTTGGAATCTAAACTATCAGAGAGAGCGAACCCGACCGTTTTAAAAACAGGGTGTTGTATATTGTATCCACTTTTTGATATATTTAACTTTTTTAAGCCTGGCTTATATTGGTGTATTGTAGAATGTATAAGCTAGTTTTTAGACATTTTTTCCTATCCTATTCACGTTATACTATTTCACTAACTATAGTTTTTATATCTGTTTTTTTATAATTGTCGATGGTTTTAAATATTTTAATCAAGTATTTATCTTATTCTATACCAGTGGATCGGTCATTGGTTATAAATATTTTATTGAAATTTTCAAAACATTTGATTTTGTTGTCAAATAATTCGAATATTCAATTTATTGTTAGATCACGTCTAACAATAAACAGCTTCTAACAGTAAATTGAACAGAGCTGTCCAAAGCATAGGTCTATATTTGTATTGACTGCTATAAATTGGAAATTTTTCCCTTGACAAAATTATCGCATATAACTTTTGTTCTTAAATCAATAATTTTACTTCTCTCTGTTGTTTGGGAAATTGTCAAACTGGTATGTTGTTAAACGGAATATGTGTATTGGTTTTCTAATATTCAACCATCTTCAAAAAAGCAGGAGTGGAATACTCATGTCTTTTTAATATGTGAACTCTTTTTGATGTTTCCTTTTCATATCAAAGTTGTAATTTTTTGTAAGGTCCCCATATAAAATTCATCAAAATCTGACCTTTATTTGTTGAGTTATTCTTAATAATGCAATTGAAATAGATTTTTGTGTAATGAACATGGTACGGTACATGGTCGGTACGGTCAGTAAGATAAAATCACTCCGACAGATCACTCGTCCAATTCAAACGGTGATCAAAACTACAACGGCCTGCCGAGGTTCGAACCACTAGTGGTGCCCTCAGACTTAAGTCGTATCTATCAGGCAGGAGTTGGCCTTCAGTCGCTCCGTAAGTCCTTTCACATGTTTTGAATGCCATTTGCACTCGCCCCCTATCGTTCGGTTAAGCTATAAAAACCAACAGTTAGAATAGTTAAAATACAATAAAATAAAATCAAATCAAAACATCTGTATTCATGTAGGTCTTTTACAGACTCTTATGATTCAAATCTACCGTCAGTTCGGAGTGCTCTCGAGCTGAGAACTGACAAGGAACTCGGCTCGTATTCTTTTCAAATAAATGTTGTACATGTTTACCATAATACACATTCATTTATAAATTCCAATTTGGGAGAATAGAGTGACCACCAGCATAACAGATCGCACTTAGCTTTGGACAGCTTTATTACAGTTCAGTTTCCTATCTATTTTCTATTTTTGAACTTCTATTCTATATACTTGACTATTTATACTTGACTCGTTGTGTGTAACTATATGTAAATATCAATATATGATACAGTGATCTCAAATCCGTAATAAAACAAAAGACTGATTCGATGCCACTCGTAAATGCCGTTTGGACTGCCTACTTTTAGTGTATTAAGTAATTATTAGTCGGTAATAGCGTTTAGTTTGTATCACTAAGCATATAAGCATTACGTTTTAGTATATGAGAACGGAGTCTAAATTGGTTCCTTGCAAGCACTGCAGTGTTCAAAAGTTTCATATGCTTTAATTTTTAAATGACAATTTTACAGGCTTGCATGTTATTCTAAAAAAAGTGATTGCAATTTCCATATGTTTTTTTTTTCAATTGACGCTTTTTTGGGTTGTAATATTAAAATTGGCGGATTAAGAAACAAAAATACTTTTCTTTTTTAATTTATGGCTTTTAAATTACAAACAACAACAGTGTTTGCTGCCAGAATCAATATTACAAAAAGTTTCGTGAAAGTTTCTGTAATATAATTTTTTTTTTCAGTAATATTCATAAATCAGTAATTTGATAAAATAATTGTGTTAAAAAGGAAAATGTTTATTAATCCAAAGATATTTTTTTCGCATATATAAGCAATGTTTAGCAGTTATTTTTTTATATTATTGTTTCTTACATCGCCCAAAACCATATCGTAAATAGAGTCTGTTCTCATATTTTTTTGTTATTGACAGAAAATGCATTGTTACCTATTTATAAAAAAAAAACCGTAACTGTCAGTAACTTGTCACGGTTTTACGGTGAACTGCAATATTATGCAACTAATAAGCAATAGACAATATTATATAGACTAAATGTACAAGACACGTGACTATGTAATGTTTTTAATATAATGTAATAGTCATTCCATTGCAAATATTATTATTAAATAAAAAAAGAAAATTAAAAAAAAATCGTAGCTTTTTTAATGTAAGGCATGTATCCTTAAAGATGTCAATGGCTTGATATAAAATAATCAAAAAAAACTTTTATATTTTTTAATTAAGTACCCAGCTAGCCATTGATTATCTTTCGTATGATATAAGACATAAACGTAAGAAGTGATTTTTAATGGATATAATAATCATAAATATAATAAACTTTGAGCAAGGAAAGATGAATCGAAATTGATGGAATTTTTGTCACAAAACAGATCACTTTCTAAGTTCTAGTAATAAAACAATAGTTTGAGAAACGAATCCTTATTCAATACTGTATTTGTTATTATTAATTTAAGGGTAAACCAAAATTCTAACGATGAACAATAAAATTGGTAAAATATGGTATTCAGATTGAAAATGTGAATAGCATTGTAACTTGTTATTGTATTTGTACAAAATTAAAACTGACAAAAAAAACATAAGAGTAAAAAAAAAACAATATATTTTTCAATACACTTGCTCGTAAAGCTCTAATTTCACCGGTTTTCGATATATAAAGCAGCCCATAAAAAGCATGCGTTATAAACGCAAATATTGGTGCATTACAGCACTATATGCTTTTTTTGAAATTTCGAACAGTCTTCCGCGTGACAGTTCGCTGATATAAAAAAGTAAAATGGCGGGAAAGTGTCACATAGAATATAATATCATGTCTAATTCCTTGCCATCAGATATGTTGAAGCGTAAAGCAATCATATATGGTAATATCATGATTTTTAATCTATTACCCGCAAGTGTGTTGAAAAACGAACGATATAGGTGCGTATATAACACTCTGCTCTACGCCGTCGGCTTCGATTCGAGCCGAAATTCTGCCTCCCTCGTGTGTTATAACCATCATAACGCACTTATATCGTAATATAATGTAATAGATTCACAATTTACACAAGAAATATTTTACACACAAAAACATATCGCTGATTATATGCTAAAGTACCACATGACGCAAACTGTAAACTTACAGTAGACATATTTAAAATTTTCACTGTCATATTTTTACTTTTTTTCACGAATCTATAAGTAGTATACCTATGTAAGCTCTAGAATCATGGGTGTCTTTTTTTTAATATAAAAATTGTTACGATTTAGATAGCATTTCTGGAAACAAAATGTCAGTTTTTTTTGCGTTGTGGCCCTTTGGCCATATCAGCGATATGTTACAAAAATATATGTTAAAACACAAAGTCGATTAAATAGAAAAGTGACATTTTCATAATTAGAATGTAGAATTACCTCCTTTTATATAAGTCAATTAAATTAACCACGCCGTCTTAATCATTATATAAATATTTTTAAAACTTTTAAAATGATATACAATGCTTCTTTAAAGGAAGAAATAATTTAAATAAACTTTAAATGCTTGGCCCGAAAAAAATTTTACATTTTGTATACTGACATTTTTCTATTTAACCGTCGATATGTTACACGATAAAATATATGTTACAAAAACGCATGTTACACGCAAAAATGATACTTAAGCATCTGTGATTTTTACTGTTGATGATTCTGAATTGTTGTTAAAATAGTATTAGAAAAAAAACATTGTGCAATGACTTTGAGAAATTTTGTATTTATTCAGATTTTCTAAATAAACGTCAGCTAAACCAAATTATTAGACAATCTTTATTTAAAACATAAATTCATTTCTATTAAGTCTCAGGTTTGGTTCTCGCGTGATGGGAACGTCTGTATCGGTCTGGTTTATATATATTACCAGCTCTTCCCGCGATTTCGTCCGCGTGGTACTTTATTTTTCTAAAATAAAAGTAGCCTAAGTTACTCTTTATAACATTAGCTACCTGCCAAAAAAGCCAATTTTATTTATATGTATAGATTATAAAAAAATATTTATGTATTTGTATCAGTTGTCTAGTACCCATAACACAAGCTCTGCTTACCGTGGGACTAGATGGCGCTGTGTTAATTGTCCAGGGTTATTTATTTATTTATATCAGTTGTCTAGTACCCATAACACAAGCTCTGCTTACCGTGGGACTAGATGGCGCTGTGTTAATTGTCCAGTGTTATTTATTTATTTATATCAGTTGTC